TTACAATACATGATAAGGTATACCTATAAGGTAGCATCTAAACAACTACTAACTCATTACATTTGTTTTATATTTGATTGATTGCAACAAAAACTCAATTATTCAACAAATTGTAAAATCAATTACATACCTGTAATTATTATACTTTCACGTATAGCTATTGTAACACTAATGTTTAACTTTGGATAAAACGTGAACACATTTAGGTTTTATAAATGAAAATTTGAAAAATCACAAAAAATAGTTTGAGTGATAAAAATGGTTTTGACTTTCAAGCAATTAAAGTATTTATTTAAAATATAATTGATTTATATATACAGTAGTTTGTTTTCTAAAAAATATAGTGATTTAAATGGAATAATACATTAAAAATATAAATTTATATATACGTAAATGTGTAAAATTAGAAAATATAGTCAAAAATTACTCATTGCTATAATGCTTATAAATTTTTTTGCTTAAATTTGGGCCAAAGTTTCTCTCCATTAAACCACTCTTTAGTGAAGACAATAGATTTTGTTTGTCTTTAAGAGTGTTGGCGATAGCGAAGGCATCCAAAAGGCTCTGAAGGGTGGGGTAGTGATCGACAATGACTTTCGCTTTGCCAACAGAAACGCCTTTTATTTGCAGCAAATGTTTTAAAAACATTTCATTGACCGTAAAGTTAGTGATTTTGTTAGCATTTCGATCGAATTCAGTATAACTCATGAAGTGGTCGTTCGGCACCTCTTTGTTGATCATCTCTTCTCTTAAACACGAGTAAAGAGTTTTGTCTTTAAAACTCGACTCCAAATACCGGGTCATTAGTGTTAAGTAGCGAATGGTGTCGTCATAACAATCGCACCGTTTGATGGAAAAGCCGTCGACCTCTGCGTTGGCGATCGCCTGATCCAAAGACTCGTATTTAATGCCTCCGAAGTCTCCTCTCTTGGTCTGAGACCCGAAATATTCAATAATATACGACGGCTTCCGAACCCCACTGTTCACGAGTCGGTACTTCTGTTCGTCCCAACGCCTGTCCTTCAGACTGGAGGCCAAGTCGTCGATCCGTTTCCTCTCCACCACGTAATCCAAAATCAATTCCTTTCGGGACCGGCTGTTCATATTCATTGTCGCCATATTTGATCGCAAGTCAACCCTCTGTTTGGCAATCCATGCGAAGTCTCCGGCACTCAATGTCCTCATCTCTACTCTGACGCCGTTTTGTTGCAAAACAGCCATTAATGCGGTTTTCCTCATATCCCGGTTCACACCACTCGTCTGCTCCCGAGTGTCAACACATAACACAATGTCATAAGTATTGGCCTCTAAAACAAAACCATCACTTAATTGATTAGTCGATGAACTGGTTTGCGATGAGACCTGTTGTGATGGTCTCTCTATAGTTGATTGCGAATCACTTCTGACGAAAGGATTGGGAACAACACTCTCTGGAAATATGGACTCCGAGTCACTGCTGTCACTATTGCTTGCATCCAATACTTCGTCAGTGTTTTCACTGGTTTTATGGTTTTCTTTATACATTGTATACAATTTGAGAGACAATTCCCTTCCCTCAGGAGTCAAGTAATATGAACTCAATCTGTGAGCACTTCTTTCGATCAAATTCTTGTTAATCAAAGTCTTGATTGAATGCCAACCGCTATAATGACTGCCATTCACTCCCGATGTCATCGATGTTGTGGTGAACTCTTGCGCTAAGTTCTGGAGCTCTGATTTGCCTAAAGAGTCGCTATTATCTTCCAATTCAGACCTCATTAGAGCCATTAGTATCGCATAACCGCCCGAACCCTCACTCGGAATATAATTAGTATTTCTCTTAGTTTTGGGAACTTTTCGAGAAGGACTCAACGCTTTATTCGGTGTATTCTTCAGTTGTCTCT